CTTGTGTATGTGTGTGTGTGTGTGTGTGTACGCGTGCAGCACCAGTATGAAGCGGGAAGCTTCTAAAAATAACTAAATTTGGGAAATTCCCTGAGAAACCCTCTTCCTCTCCGTGCCACTTAACCTTTATATTGCCATCGCAGTGTCTTCCCACACCCATCCCCCTGTCCATCCACTCCACACTCCACCGTCCCTCAACAAGCTGTGATGTGAGGAGAAATCAACTCCTCCACAGTTAAGGAAAAGAAATCCTTAAAATGCAGTGTTTTGTGGAATCTATTTAAGACTCTTAAAGAAGACCTCTTCGACGATGGACAAGAATCCAAAATAGGCAACATTTGGGCTCTTTTGAGCTGTTTCTGGGCTCTTTATCCTAACTTGAGAGTAAAGTTCCACGGAGAAGGTCATTATCATTCCAGGGAAAGTATGTGCAATTTTGGCAAATTTCGCCGTCTTTCGTTCGATTATGTCTGTACGTAACCATCACAGACCAAACCATTAGCCCGTTCGCCCGCAAGCGATATAATGTACACCACCTACTAAAAAGATCAACACAGAAGTAAAAGTTTTTTTTCTTTTTCTTTTTTTCTTTTTGCTGCCACCCCTTTTAGAGAGAAACTGCCACAGAAAAACATAGTCCGTAGAGCGGAATTATGCTTTATATATTTAACTTAAGATTTACTTCTTAATAATAACAACAATGTCTGGCATTTATGTAGCTCCTTACTCCGATTTAAGTACGATTAAGAAGCGCGAGGATATTTTCAGTTGTATTACCAAGCAGCTGGTTGGGTGATATGACTACTCTACAATCCATCAAGCATATTACGCAGATGGCTCTCCGGTAGTAGATTGGTTAGAGAGAACAAGCTAACAATAATATCAAGCGTATGTTAGATAGATAGATAGATAGATAGATAGATAGATAGATAGATAGATAGATAGATAGATAAAAAAGAGAGAGGATAATACTTAATTGTTAATAAAAATGCCCCAATCTACCCAATAAGGATCAATGAGGGGGTAGGCTTAGATCCTGCCTGTCAGGGCAAGCCCGGGCAGAGGGGGATACTGCACAGACATACTGAAATCCTCCTTAAAGAATCTCCACTCCGGATAGACGGACATATAGAGAGTGAGCGATGCATGCCTGTGTGCGCCCACGCGGTGAGCGGTGAGACTGAGTTTAGATAGGTGGTCACATGGTTGTCTTAGAACAAGGTATGGTGTTCGCCTCTCAACCTGAAAGTCCAGAGTTCGACCCCCGCCCGCACAGTGGCGACCAGCAATGGCATGGTTTTGAAATTGTTCTGTATTGGTGTAATATTGTGTATTTATGTATGTATATTATAATGTGTATGTATTTATGTTTGTTTGTATTTATACTAATGTATTTATGTATGTTTGTATGCATGTTTGTTTGCTAATATAAAACAATGTGTCCTTATGGGATAATAAAAAATGGATTTTTTAAAAATTATTGATTTGTCATGTCTCTAACACGTGCTGATCCTATGGTGAGTAAGATCGAGCACCTTGTCTTCTCGGAGGAGGCCCCGTGTGGAAGATTTGTACGTTAAAGATTCATTGCGTGTCTTGAGTAAAAAAGGAGTAGGCCTCTCGGGCTCTGTCTTGGCAAAATTAGAAACGTAATTTCTTTTATCAAGTATCTCGTTCTTTCTGCTTGGACTCCGTGTCCCTCTTGGTCTGGGCTGGCATCTGACAGGCAGGGTTTAAGCCTGCCTCCTAAATGATGTCGTAAACTATTTTTTGTAGCAGAGGTTTTACGGCGCTCGCAAGTGCATATGAGCGCCAAAAGATTAGAGGTGTTACAAGAGAGTAACAAACATAAAAAAGAAGAAGGGCAGATAAGGACGATAGATGTTTGATAGGAAAGAAGAAGCAAACCACACCAGAGCAACCGCCAACCACCCACTCGTAAACTATGCCGATGAGGGCGTAAAAATACAGGTACCTAATGAAAACTAACAATTCTTACGACGACAATGCCCCTGTTAGAGGAAGAGAACTCTTGTCTTTTGATTACGTGTGTTGGATATCTAAAAAAAAAAAAGAATCTCTTTTAGGATTAAAAAAATGGCTGCACCGAATGAAATAAAAACCACTAAAAGGTTGGTCTAGAATTTAGCTTGATCTTGTTAATTCTATGTACCGATCTGGAAACTAAGTTCGAGCTATTCAAGATTGTTATAATGTGAATCGATATCACGTCGAAAAACATCCGCAATCTGATTTATCATGAATTCGACCAAAGTTTATACAACGGTGTACAAGATCTATCTACAACATGACCTAGATGTGGAGAGACAGTAAAAAATCGCCCATGGATCTTAAATTATGCGCAGTGTAGCTTTTCCGCCTCATTACTCATTATTATCATTATTATTATTTTCAAAGGGGACAAAGAAAAAAGGCAATTATCTACCTCTTCAGTGTTGTTTCTTTGCTTTTCTGGTCAGCACAAAGTCTCAGTTTCATATCTTGTTTGTTTAAATACGTAGTCCAGCTAATGAGCCCTACAAAAGGGCAGGTATTCCTTTTTGTTGTTGCTTGGGTTGGACTCGGGAACAACAAGGCATCGTGGTGAAATCAGGCGCTCGTGAAAATAATGAAACCAAAGAAACCAGCGTTTTTCTTGCCGTTCTGCATATTTTTTCCATTTTTCCTTTTTTTTGCGTAACATATTTCATGTACATTTAAAAACACATTGCGTGTGGGTTTCACAGCAAAGTTTTGATTAAAGGCACACATTTGTAGCACCCAAGCTCACCCAAGCTTCGGAAGTCACCAAATATTGGTGGCCATTTTCTCGCTTATTTTACCTCTGACACCAGGCGACACCCACCTCCTTCAGTCGGGGATATCTCGATTTACATTAAAAATGGACGAGCATTTTTTTCACAGAAAGCAAAAAAAATGAACAAGCCTTTAAGGTGATACTAAAAGTTCTATATGCCCAAAATTTGACCAGCGCCTGATTCCACCGTGTGGTGACATTAATTGTTCCAACGGTCATAGACGTGCTTCGGGGTCCATGTGAGACTGTAGATAACAGTAACTTGTATGGGCACCGACTTGTTTGGGAAATACTTACATATTGCCTAAACGCATGGTGCTTTTTGTTGTTGTCTCTTACTACAAAATTAATACATGGATTATAGCAGGCTGTATTCATGTCTCTGTTTAGAAAATCTTATATTAGAGAGAGCAGGATTAAGGAAACGTAATACCAACAAAATAATCACCTAGAAGTAAAAGCGCACCCCATGTAATTTCTTGGCATACACCTATGAACATAAGAGATTTTGATGACAACTTATTTCCACATATTGGTCACTCTATGCGAGGAGTTAGGAATGGGGAATTGTGTTTTGCCCCTCAAGACAGCCTGAAGAAATCTAGAGTAGGCACCTAACCAAAAACCACCAGCACCACCTACACCACCAACATCACCACCACCATCATCATCATCATCATCATCATCATCATCATCATCATCATCATCATCATCATGTTAGTGTAAATCGTCAAAGGTATAATAAAACCCAATTATTTTCAAGAAGTATCTCTCATTGTTATTCTGAGCTGTCTAACAATAATTACCCCATTCGCTCATTTTCCTCATAACTTACCTATATTTGGCACTGAATCAAGTCACAGTATAAAGAAAAAGGGCAAACAATCCTGTACAGAAATATCTTCTTCACAAAAGCTAAGAAACACCCCAACATTCAAATCGTGAACGGATATTTACACACAAGCACGCACATACACATAGACACTGACATACTTAATATAAACTGACACACACGAAAACAAATACACATGTACATACTTACACATTCACTTATTCACAGACGATCACAGACTTTTACTTTCACACAGGAATAAACAGATAAACAAACAAACACAAACACACACGCACACACACACATACGCATACACACACGCGCACATGAAATAAAACACATATTCATACAAAGACACTCTCTTATTCACTATCACACTCTATCATTCTTACACTGAAACAAACAGACGCATGCACACACATATGCACATATACACACACATACACATACACATATACACATGCACACGCACGTGCGTGTGTCCTGCCGTATAAACGCACAAATGACACTACGCCTATATCTGTTCATTCACACACAACCGTGCTCCTACATGGAACGAGAGAGACTGAAAGAGAGAGAGAGAGAGACTGAAAGAGAGAGAGAGAGAGAGAGAGAGAGAGAGAGAGAGAGAGAGAGAGAGAGA